ATAATCTTCTCTGCTTCCTTCTTGTCTACACAACGAAGCAGAGTTGAATCATGATTGCGCTTGTACAAAATTCCATTGCTCTGAAAGAACATAGCAGAGAATCTACGTAAGAATTTCTTGTTATTGATAGATGCTCCCTCAGGGTACTCTTGAGCCTCAAGGTGCCTTTTCACTTCATGAAATCAAGGCCTTTCTTCTACTTCGTCAGTATCGACTTCACAATAATGTGTTGGTTCGTCTAGTCTTTCAATAGTAATTTGAAGAGCTTCATTGTCCCATCTGACTTTGAACATAGATGACATAGTAGCCAATGCATCTGCCAGCTGATTCTCTTCTCTTGGGATGTGCTCAAAAGTGATTTCCTTGAAGTACGTGATTAATGTCAATACATGCTCCCGATAAGGAATGAGATTTGGGTGCTTCGTATCCCACTCTCCCTTAATCTGACTGATTACCAGGGTTGAATCCCTGTATACATTGAAGAACTTGATTCTTAAATCAATGGAAGCTTTGATACCCATGATGCATGCTTCGTATTCGGCCATGTTGTTGGTACAGTCAAAGAAAAGTCTGGAAGTAAAGGGCGTACGCAAATCTTGGGGAGAGATAATTATAACACCAATTATGTTTCCAAATTCATTAGAAGCTCCGTCGAAAACCATAGTCCATTGGGATCCTAGCTCAGGTCCTTCATATGGTCCAGGTTCTTCACAATCTATAATTTGCATGATATTCTCGTCTGGGAACTCAAAATTCATAGATTGATAGTCGTCTATTGCTTGATGAGCCAAATTATCTTCCAGTACACTTTCTTTGATAGCCTTTTGAGTGGTGTACTGAATGTCATATTCTGTCAAGAACATTTTCCATCTGGCTATTCTTCCAGAAAGAGCGGGCTTCTCGAATATGTATTTTATCGGATCCATGTTAGAGATCAACAAAGTGGTATGAGTCAATATATATTGTCTTAGTCGGCGAGCAGCCCATACCAAAGCGCATCAAGTTTTCTCGAGCAATGAGTATCTTATCTCACAGTCGGTAAACTTTTTGCTAAGGTAGTATATTGCATTCTCTTTTCGACCAGACTCGTCATGATGACCCAGTACACACCCTATTGAGTTCTCTAACACCATTAGGTACATGATTAGTGGTCTCCCTCCAACTAGTGGCATCAGAATCGGAGGTTCTTGGAGGTACTCTTTGATCTTGTCAAAATCTAACTAGCAGTCTTTGTTCCACTTCACTACCTGATATTTCCATAATAACTTGAAGATTGGCTCACAAGTAGCCGTCAGATGAAAAATAAATCAGGCAATGTAATTCAGTCGTCCCAAGAAACCTCTGACTTCCTTCTCAATACGGGGAGATGGCATATTTTGAATGGCTTTAACCTTGGTGGGATCAACTTTAATACCTTTACCACTAACAATGAAACCCAAGAGTTTATCAGATCTTACCCCAAAGGTGCACTTGTTCGGATTCAACCTCAGCTTGTACTTTTTCAGCCTCTCAAACAACTTGTGTAGATGGTCAAGATGTTCCTCTTCGGTCTAGGATCTGGCTATCATTTCGTCAATATAGACCTCTATCTCGTGATGGATCATGTCATGGCATGCTGATACGTAGTGCCAGCATTATTCAACCCAAAAGGCATAACCTTGTAGCAAAAGGTGCCCCACTGTATAACAAAAGTATTCTTCCCATGTCTTCAGGCGCCATATTGATCTGATTATACCCTGAGAAGCCTTCCATGAAAGAGAATACCTTGTGTTGAGCAGTGTTATCAACCAAAACATCAATATGTGGAAGTGGGAAGTTATCCTTGGGGATTGCCCTGTTCTGATCCCTGTAGTCTACACACATACACAATTTTCCATCCTTCTTAGGTACTGGCACCATATTCGCAACCCACTGAGGATAGGATGTAACAGCTAAGAAACCTGCGTTGAATTGCTTCATAAATTCAACCTTGATCTTTTCGGACATCTCGGGACGTATACGACGAAATTTCTGCTTTATCGAGGAACAAGCCTCTTTCATCGACAGACAGTGAACCGCAATATCGGTACGAGCCCTGGCATATCCTCATATGACAAAGCAAAGATATCAACATAGTCATGCAACATTTGGATTAATCTGTTCTTGACACCATCTTCTAGATTAGTACCTATGTTGACTTCTTTCCTGTCTGTTTCAGTACCCAAGTTCACAACCTCGACTGGCTCTTCATGCGATTGTATAGCCTTTTCCTCTTGCACTAACAGTCTGGCAAGTTCTCCAGGTATTTCACAATCTTCCTCACCTTTATCCTCGACTTGGTAGATCGGATTTTCAAAGTCATAAGTGGCAATAGCAAAATTGTTATCAACAGGATCCATAGTCGATGTAGATCTGCAATTTATTGTGTGAGTGTGTGTAAGAACACATAGCTATTTTAAAAGTGATAAAAATAAAAGAAAGAAAAAGAGTGCAAGATTTGAATCCAAAACTTCCAATGCTTTATTAAATGAAAATATGTTTATGAAATGATAACCCTAATAAATGGACCATTGTGCCCTGCGTAAGGCACAAGGCTTAAAGTCATTGTTTAAAAATTACATAACCAAAACTTTGAAAGCAATAAAAAATAGAAAATGGCATTTAGTCCTACTGACTAAAGGAGACGGAGATAAGGTCTTCAATTTTCTAATTGTTGGGTCCGTTGCCGATGGTAGGAAAGATCCAGCTGTCGAGGTCATAATCATTGTCAGCATCTTCTATAGCGTTGACTCCATTGTTGTTGATGCAGAATGGCGGTCTTCTAGCATGCGCACGACGAACAGCCCTCTGAGCCTCAGCAGTAAAACCCAAACCAAATTTGTCAAATTTGTACGGAATGTCAGGAAGCTGACCCCAAGTAGTGCAACCACCTTCTTCTACTACAGCTCTACCATCCTTCAAAGAAGCCATTCTGGGTGGAACTCTGGTAACCTTGGGAATAACATAAACGTCTTTAGTAGCAGCAGGAGGGATAACTTCAAATGCCTGGTAGGGAGTTTCAATGAATTCTCCGTCCATCTCAACATACCTGAAGGAATTTAAGTGACTCACCATATACTTCTCTTCACCACACACAATAACAACCGTTCCTTTCACGAGATATTTCAGCTTCTAGTGCAGGGTTGAGGTAACACCGCCTACCACATAAATCCAGGGGCGTCCAAGTAAACAAGAATAAGTCGGTCGAATATCCATTATATAGAAGGTAGATTCGAAAACATGCGAACCTACCTTGATCAGAATATCCATCACATTTTTGTTTTATATCCTATTCTCGCTTGTTTGTCTCGGGTGATCTGCTCCCCTTGGCTAAAGCATTTCGCTTCTTTTCTTTACCATTTTATATGTGTGCTCTTTCGAGCTTGTTTGCTTACTTGGTTTCTATACTATGTTCCCTTAGGATGTGCTTGTTCCTTTCGGATGCAAGTTAGACCTTAGGTTGCAATCTATGCATGTTACCATTAGGTAGACGTTTCCCCTTTGTTAATCTAAATCTTAGGACCATCATTGTATGATAACATCAGAATTAGAAATAGGCTAGTCTCCCGTAGACTGTTTTCTTCCCCTTTTGCATATGCATTTAAAACTAAAACCTTGTTTTTCTTGGCAAATCATAAAATATCTTAATCACACTTAAATCTTTTTTCAAGGTAACCAAACACAAACCAATCAAATGTGACATCTTTCCTTGAGGGCGTAACTCAAAACCAATTTCAGGTAAGGACATGTTAGTTTACTTTTGTGCCAACACGTGAGTCTCCAAAGGTTGAGCTGCGGCAGAAAACAGAATTAACATCGTTCATAAAAAATATAAAACAAACAAAAACATGTGAGCCGAACTACGGTAACTCTAATTCCTCAAAAATGATATGTAGGCATTGGGGTAGGGTCCGAACGAGTACAACTTTATTTTCCATACATTATTTTCTCTTTTCTTTTGCATGTATTTTTTCCTCAGTAATAAACAGTAAACATAGATTAGACACACCCTTTGATGAGAGCAACAAGAGTGGACATCGTAGAGTACTACGGGCGTATGTAGTGCTAATACCTTTTCTTCGTGTAACTGACTCCCTTACCCGATATCTTAGTCGCAAGACCATGACTTCCTCCTTCTCAAGTTTTCTCGATGTTTACCTTTCCTTTCATGTGGGATAAAAAATGTTCGATGGCGACTTTCTTGTCTAATGATTTTCAGCCAGTTGTTTCAGTTGAGAACCAAGACTAAATCCAATCCTGTCAACCTTTCAAAACCCTAAAGAATCAAAATCGGAGTAAAACCAAAAAATTAAATTGAGCCATTCAAAACTATTCGAATCAAAAAACCGGAGTCGAATTTGTTAAACTATCCTATTTCAAATTATTCTTAAATGAATTAAAATTAAGTATAGTTATAATGTGTTATTATATATACTATTGATATTGTTTAAGTTTGTAATAAAATTTTAAAATATTTATTTTATTAAAATATAAATATATTATTATGTGTGATATATTTATAAAATTTAATTTTATATTATTAATTTATTTAATAAATGATTCCACAGTAAATCTAATCATTAAATCATTGAACATTAATCCAAATGTTTTATCAATTTGGTTTTTAAAATATTAATTAATATGTAAATCAATTTCGTTGATGTAGTAAAGGTTCACGAATTTTATCTAAAATCCCTATAGAACTTAAGCATCTAAATCACTCGGAGAAAGGGTTTATAAAAATATATACGAATTTGCGTTTTTTTTATAATTATTTAATTGAAACAAGCAATTTATTTTACTTTTATTTGTTTCGTCATAAAAATAAAAAAATCGAATTTAATCTCTTTGAAGTTAACTAAAATTTGTGATTTAATTTATTGAAAACACGAGTACACACTTCACGATTCTATATCCTCGGTAAGCTATTTGAATTTGAAATCAACTAATGTGAATTCGAAATAGTATAGCATTAAGTTGAGTTATAATGACTGTTCAACTATATGAATCCTAACTATAGAAGATTTATTTGTCTTTATTATCGGTTTGAAAATGGGGATTAGCCAATTTCTTATTTGACGGGTGTTTAGCCCATTTTTCAACGAAAAAATAATATAGTTGATCATACAGATATTTGTAACCCTATATGTTAAAGTATGAATATAAATGAAATTTATTGTTGTTACACATAATAACATAACAATGATACACAAAAGTGAAAAATATGATAGAATCATTCTACAATAAATCGTTCTTCAACAAAAACACCCAAATAAATGGTAATAACGAAATGATGCCTTATTAATCATACCCAACCAAGTGAACATAGCAATGAGAAATCCCCGAAAAATTTATTACAACATAATCATACCGCTAATTCATGTTTCAGTAACACAAAAACACAGCACCGACAACAACTGCAACGGAATACACCAGAGAACTCGAAGGCGCTATTGAATCAGATGAGGCCGGTGGAACTGCTGTTGCCCCAGGTGCCGGAGACTCTGCACCCGGCGCCGCAGCACCGTCTGATGGTACAGTTGGAGATTGAGATGGCGGTGAAGCGCCCATGGAAGGAGACATCGGTGATGGAGCAGGTGGTCCACCCGCCGTAGGAGGTGGAGCCGTAGGTTCACCGGCTGGAGGCGTACTGACGGATGGTGAATTTGCAGTGGGAGAAGTTGAAACAGAAGGAGATGGAGTGGTTGCAGATGGTAAAGGAGAAACAGAGGGAGATGGAGTGGTGGTAGACGGTGAAGGAGCAGCAGAAGATGGTGTGTGTCCTCGTGGGGATATGACAACAAGGTTTAATTTCTGACCCTTTTCACAATTTTGATCAGTTCCACTAATGAAATAGAACGGTCCAGATCGATCCAAAGTAAACTCTGTGTTACCATCTTCCAACTTTTTGATTGGGTTTGTTTTGTTGCATTTATCATAAGCTTCTTTTGTCACTTCCAACACCGAGTCTGAACCCTTCTTGTACTTGAAAACTATATCATAAGTTCAACCAAAGTTTAAGAAATTGAACCGACAAAACAAAACCTCCTTAGTTTGTGATGAACAAATAAAAACATAGTAAAAGATTACCTAGAACGTCGTTGACTTGGAACCTGTTTCTCCCTGACCATTCGTTGTAATTCTCGGAAGGGTTTAGAGACCATCCATCGGTTCCGCCGATATCGAATTTGAGAGCTTGGGAAGTTGAGCCAAGAACAAACAAGAGAAAGAGAGGTGTCTTAAAATCCATAGTAAGGTATGAATGGATTAAGGGGTGTGTATAATATATAATGTCAATTAGAGAGAGAGAAGAAAGTAGTAGTGTGTGTTGTGTCGTGACACACGATGTGTGTCTGTCTGATAGAGGAAATTAAATTGAATGGAAGAAATAAAGGAGACGACTTGGATGAGACTTTTTAAAAAGAAAGTTGAGAGTTAAAGGGTGATATACACGAACAAATGCGAAGGATTGTAACGTGTGTTGATTATTCGCTTTCATTCACTAAATTCTTATATTCACAACCATACACTTGGCAAAGTCACGGGGATAATTACTCTTTCTATTTAGTTTGTATTCTTGTGTTGTGTCGACGGTACCGACTGGTCGACAGCGTGCACTGTACTCAACCACATTCTTACCAAAATATCTATCTCTTCTTTTATATATATATATATATATATATATATATATATATATATATATATATATATATATATATATATATATATATATATATATATATATATATATATATATATATATATATATATATATATATATATATATATATATAACTAAGATATATTTCTTAATCTAATTAATAATAAATATTATTTAGTGGCTAAATTTTTTGTTGTAAAATGTTAGATTATTTAGAAGAAATTAAGTATGTAGGTTCTTCTTTTGATATTAATAAATATATATCATGACAACAGGTAATAAGGGTTTTTCAAAACTAAAGAGGTTTTTTAGTGTTTTCTTATATTCATCATTTCCTCGAAGAAGGGTGTGTCAAATGAATTTGGAAAGAAATTTTTTGCTAAAAAATATTGGACATCTTTGATTTAGGAGAGATCCTTCTATTCCTTAGGATTAATAGTTAAATAACATTTTGTTTGCAAAGATGACTTATCAGTTGTTGCCTAGATATATTTGTATTAAGATCAAGAGTTATATTTACCTACTTAGTTTTACCTAAAATAGCTAATCAGCCAGAACATCTTTAACATGTCATATTTATGGATTCTGATGATGATAATCATCAAAACTGTTTGATTAAACATGAAGAACTTATGGAATATCTAAAAAAATTGGATAAACTTAAAAAATGGACAATTCCATCAGTACCTTCAAACCAAATTTATTAATTTGACAAAATAGATATATTATTTCGTTTTGCTATTAAAAGCTTAGAACAAACTATTCAAATTTCTGAAAGTACCCAGACAATCAAACTTTTAACAAAAAAGAATTTACTTCCTTTTAAAAATTATAATTATATCCATGTTGGTTTAATACAAGTTGCTGTTAAACCTTTAACTTTTCTAGGATTAAATACTAGCATCCTGGGATATATTAGAGATGGTAGATATAAAAATTTTAAACAATCTTTGGCTGCTTTAATTGAGACAAGCCCGTGTCATGGACCCGTTTATTTTGATGTCTCTCCCAATATAAACTCATCTATGTCTGATAAAAATATATTAGATGCTCTTCAATTAACTATTCATACCAATGGTAACAATTTTAAATCTGGAAGTGAAATCATGGCTATATGTTACAAGATTTATTACAAAGTTCTTACCACTTTAAACCCTAAAGCTAAACAAACATCGTTTCCTGGAACTACTACTTTAGTTCAAACTAATTTATTAACATCTAATGTTGCAACTAATAGGTTGCTAAAATGGGATGAAATTAATTTTTCAGAAACCTGGAATCTTTCTCATGCCATAGATAATGAACCCATCCTTAATAAGGATGTTGATCAAATAATCTAGATTAACGAAGGAGATTTAGAGATAAACTTTAACTCTAAAAGAATGATTAGAATACCTAGATCTATGTCTGGAAGATATTGTGTAAATTTTATAGATGAGTTTTACACTGCTCCTAGTCAATTAGCTAGACCTTCAACTTCTCAATTAAGAGAAAAAATAAAAGTCGTTGAGAATATAAGACTTAGCGAAAACAAAATTCCTCATGGTATATATCAAAAACCAAATCCTCCTAGAGTAGAATCACTTACTCCCTCAAATATGGACTTCCCGTTATAATGTTAGATTATTCTCCAGGTAGTAATCTAAGAAACTTTGTCAATGACGAGTTTCAGCATGAAAGATACGCTCAATTTAGAAAATGGTTTTTTAAAACTTTTCCTGCTCCAGTGTTAGATAGCTTTAAGGATAAGTACTATACTCAGATGTCTATGAACCAAGATTTCATTCCTTTTGTCAAATGGTTCATTAGTTACTTTATAAGTAAACAAAGGGAAGAGTTAGTTTTTATGAAACAAGACGAACTTTTAGTTCTATAAAAACCGTGGGAAAATATCAAAGGAGAAAAAATGGAATCTCCTTTTCCCCCAGAGCAAACCATAAGTTTGGATCCTCATACTGAGGCTACACCTTATCTTACCCTTCAATTACAAAGAGTTGAACAAAATCAGGTTACTCTTAAGGAGTTAAATTCCATAATTAAATCCAATAATTATACTAATGCCTACCTTGTTTGTCTAGGAGAACAATTTATTTCTCTAGAAAAAGAGCTCTTATCCGTAAAAGACATTTTAGACAAACAAATAGCTCGTCAAAAGGTTATTATTGACCTTATTAATAAGCCTAAATTTCAGGAACAGGCTTCTACCTCCAATATTTCAGATGTTCCTATAATTCAACCTCCTATTCCTATAGAAGGATTTAAAATAGAAACCAGCGAAGATGAGTTTGTCCGTACTCTTGAGAAAAAGCTTAAAGATTTTCATTTAACGGTTATGTCTAATCAAGACTCTTCTAATGAAGAAGACATTAATGATTTAGCAAATATGTTTGCTGACTTAGACATTAGTAATAAAAATAATAATGAAATAAACCCTATTTATAACTCTAAACCTTTGGAGAAATACTATTATAAGCGCCCCTCTCCTCAAGATTTACTTTTTGAGGAACCTGAATCCTTCCAAAATTCGTATTCTGGAAAAGCCATTTACAAATGGAACATTGATGGATTAAATGACAAATAAATCCTTGATTCCATACATAGAATGATTATGTATTCTACTGTTTGTAAACAACACCGAAATTCCGACAAAGATATTTCCTCCTTTATATCAACTGGATTTGTTGGTCAATTAAGAGGCTGGTGGGATCATTATCTCACTAATAGTCAGAAAAAAGATATTCTTAACCATAATAAAATAGTTAAGTCTGAAGTTCCTAGAATCAGAACAAGTGGTATTTCCACCACAGGAGAAGAAGATGCGGTTTATACACTGTGTCTCTCTGTCCTTCAACATTTTGTTGGAACCAATATCCCTATTAGAGAAAATAATTCAAACTTTACTTCAGAATCTAATATGTACCTCCCTTACACATTTTAGATGGTACAAAGATACCTTTTTATCTAGAGTTTATCAATTAAAAAACCCTAACTCTATCCATTGGAAAGCCAAATTTATTGATGGATTACCCCATTTCTTTTCTTAAAAAGTTAGACATTCTTTAAGAAGTAAAAACGATGAGATAAATATTAATTATCCTGATCTTACTTATGGCCAAATTATTAGCACTTGTGTTAATGAAGGATTAACCTCGTGTAATGATATTAAGCTTAGAAGTCAGCTTAAAAAACAGAAACTTTCTGAAAAACACCAAAATGAGTGAATTTTGCGACTAGTTCGCCTTTGATCTTGGAAGATCTCCTAAGAATAAAAAGAGAAAAGGAAAAATTTTCAGGAATAATCCTCATAAAAATAAGGATAATTATAAAAACTCTTATAAGAAGAATAAGAAACAGGGTCACTTTAATAAAAGTATACCAAAAGAAAAGATTTTTAATCATAAAGGCAAAAGAAAAGCTAAAATGCTTGATGTATCTTACCACAAATGTGGTAAAGCTGATCACTATGCAAACCAATGCTGGACCAAAAAAGCTCTCAATGAAATCGAGGATGAGCAATTACGTTCTCAACTTGAGAAAGTTTGTTTACTTAAATCTGACTCAGAAACCAATTCTTCTAATGAAGATATTGACATGATCTATGAATCATCATCAGATTATTCCTCTGATAGTTCTCAAAATAATAATTGTCAATGTAATCAAATAGATAATTAGAAGTCTATTATTGATATGAACGGTCTTAATGTTCTTACTACAGAACAAGATGAAGCTATAAAAGCCATTGAGTCTATTTCTGATAATAATCTTAAAAGAAAAATGCTTGAAGTTTTAATTCAAGAAAACTCTAAAAAAATATCTCCTATTATTATTGAAGCCCCTTACCAATTAAGTGAGGTTTTATCCAGATTTCAACAGTCTCATATCCGTGAAACTCCTGTTTCCCTTACTGATTTAAACAGAGGAATTAATCTTTTGAAATCTGAAATTACTCAGATAAAGAAGGATAATAAAAAATCATCTCAAAGGATTTACTTACTTGAAATGGGTACCCCTAAAGTTGAAGAAATATCTTCTAATAGCAATTTTTCCACTAATGATAGATTTCACACTCTTATTGACAGAGTAATTTCTCAAAAATGGTTTGTTAGAATAACTTTAGCTATTAACAGAACATTTATATTACAGAATAAATTCGCCCTTATTGATAGCGGCGCTGACCTTAATTGTCTTCAGGAAGGAATTGTTCCTACCAAATATTATACCAAAACCACTCAAACCCTTGCTCAGGCTAGTGGTGACAAATTAAAGGTTAATTATAAATTACCTAATACCTACGTTTGCAATCAAAATATTTGTTTACCTACCCATTTCATATTAGTTAAAAACATGACTCACAGGGTTATTCTTTGAACTCCTTTTTTAAATAACATTATGCCTTTAATAAATGTTGACACTAAAGGCATCACCACCATGATTAATGGTAAGAAGGTCACTTTTGAATTCATTATTGATCCTCATATTAAAATGCTTAATGAGGTTAACAGTATTCTCTTAAATAAAGAAAAACAACTAGGCTTTCTTAAAGAAGAAGTTAGTTTATTAAATATTAATGAACAACTTAATAAAGATGA